GGGGGGGGGGGGGGGGGGGGGGGGGGGGGGGGGGGGGGGGGGGGGGGGGGGGGGGGGTATTGTTTGACAGTACAACAGCAATGGCACAATGTAGGACAAATATCCGGCACATTTGACGACTCGAAACACTTGATTGAGAGACCCCGCGCGTGCAGCGGGGTTCTGTTCAACGGAAAACCTGAAAGTAGTACTCGCTACGCCAATATACCAACTTGTATTAGGTGAGGGTCCGAAAGAATCATGACACCCCACCACGCCAAGAGAGCGAGAGAAAAAAACGCGAAGTTCGATGTTTTTGGAATGGCCCTCGTGTAGATACCGCATATTCCGCAGAACGAACGTGCCACAGAGCGTTGATGCCACCGCAGCAGCATTCCTGGAGAGCGGCACTGGCGCACACGCACTCTCCCGCGCCGCATGGCTGACTCAACACAGCCGCTCAAGTATCAGATTCCCGTGGCCTGTAGTCTAGACACTGTTGTGCTCCAGCGCAACTTGCTGCTCGTGCATCCACCCAGACGTAGCTCTGCTGGATCGCTACCGGCTGCTCTCTCAAAATCGGCTATCGCGAGCTTGCACTGTCTCGAGACCCTCGTGTTTTGGCTCTCCTCCCGCACAAAGCCGGCTGTGCACGGGGGATTTTTTACGTCTGCGGCGAAACCGAGCGTCGGCACGTGGGGCACTCCTCGTTCTCCTCCAACCACCCGTCCACGCACTCTGTTCGTTCGCGTCATGCCATCAATCGATCGGCGGGAGGTAAGCGGGGGGGGCGAGGTTACGGATCTACTGTTCCCGATCTACACGTTTTATGTCATATAGACTGTCAGAAAAAAACAAATATACTTCGAAGTATATATTAATATATCCGCGCGCACGGGGGGCGGGCGTACTCGTACTTGCATGCCGTAGCGGCTTGACACATTGACCGCACGTCCTCGTAAGGACCGAACATTGTTCCCACAGGACCGATCACCGATAATGGTCAATCGTTCCTCCCTACTATCTACCCGAGGGGAGGGGGGCGGGGGGCGGTAAGGTCTGTCGTGCCTCCAGTACGCCCGTTGCCCCTGCTATCGGGTCGTCGTTCTTCGGCCACGAACCCCTGGCAAGAACAACGTGCGAGTTTCATTCGTCTTCAAGGACAAGGCCACTCCAACGCTACATGCCTGTGTGGAAGGCGTGGGAGCAAGGCAAGATCCTGAGCTCGTCGTCTTCCTCGTAGTCGCACTGACACACCAGGCACCTGCTAGAGCACGATTATTTGGCGGGCGGGTGCGCGTGGGGGCGTACGATCGTTCTTCAGCAACGTGATCACTTTGTCCAGAGAAATGCGTAACGATGGATTTATTGCTCCTAATAGTTGTAATAGTTGTCATGTTGTGTTCGTTCCTTCAGGCCGAGTCTTTACGTCGTGAATGTTTCGGAGTTATTTATTTGCTCTCGGTCGAGGGGGGGTTGTCTGCAAGGGAAAAATGATCTAGATCCAAACGACCTTCTTACGGTTCCTCGAGACAGATTTTTTTCTCAGGGGAAAAATAGGGCCGATTCAAGTCTTTGAGGGTCACAGCATGCTTCGGTACACTGTTTTGGCTCGTGTGCGACCAACAAGACACCGTGCGCCCTGTTTTTGGGTCGCCTCCAGAGGGCATGTGTATCATCGCACGACAGTGACGGCAGTTTGTGCATGTCGTCGGCCAAAGGCCTCTCTCTCTCTGGCATGCGTTGTGGACTGATCACGCTCGGAGCAACCAGAAAGAAAAGAGGCAACGTCCAAAAAAAAGCCAACATCGCAACACACTTCGAATCACGTTTACAGGCCGTGTGCAATCAAAACTGGACAATACGCTCTGCTTCTGGGACGCGAGCAGAGCATATGTGTATGATCACACGCCATCGGCTGTAGTTTGGATGTCATCGGCCGAAAGCCTCCCTCTGGCATGCGTTGTGGACTGGTAGCGGGTGACACACGGAGCACACACGCGGTGGAACAAGACAAAAGTCCAAAAAGTCAACACCGCAACATACTTCGGTTCACGTTTACAGGCCGTGTGCAATCAGAACTGGACAAAACGATCTGTTTCTGGGACGCAAGCATAGGTTATGTATATGATCACACGCCACTGGCTGCAGTTTGTGGATGTCGACGGGGTAAAGTCTGGCGTGCGTTTTGACTGGTCACATGTGCAGCAGGCACAAAAACGGCTCTTTTCGGCGCAAAGGCAGGAACGTCAGCAGAGCAATGTGGCGGGGTTGACGTCATTGGCTCGTGTGCGGCCAACACGACGCAGAACGCCCTGAATTTTAGATACGTGCAGAGAGTTTGTGCATTCCTCGTTATATTGGCCAGTAGACGGTGTAGTTCCTCGTTCTAGCACAATCGGGGTGTGAACAGGGGGCGACCCCCCCCAATTCCAAACTGGAAATTATCAGCCGATCCAGTTTGGAAAATGGGCCTATTTTCCAACGCGGTAGCTGGGATCCTAGGAAATATTCGGCGATTTGGAATTTGGGAGTTTTGGAATTGGCCAAATTCCTCCGCGTAAGATGCTAAAATAATTATTTGGGCTGAGAAAGGACCCCCCCAAAAAAAAAATCCCAAAATAATCCCGACGTAAGACTTGGCCTCAGCCTGATACATCCGGCAACAGCGAAATTTGGATTCGAGAGAGAGATAGAGAGGAAGAGAGAGAGAGAGAGAGAGAGAGAGAGAGAGAGAGAGAGCGAGAGAGAGAGAGAAGTAGGGCATCCCCTTACTGCGGAGCTGTATGAACACGATGACCCATGCTACTGCTTCATGTGTCTCCGAATGAGTTGATAATTCAGCACATTCGTAAGCATAAGCGCCGTCAAAAGCAAAAACTACCTCATAGACACCCTAAAACCATGCCAGGCAGTAAGTTTCACGCCCTTAAAGCATAGGCAGCAGCACCGCCAGCACATCAGACATCTGCCCTTAGAGTGGCAACGGGGGACCCAGGGCGGCAGGTATCTGCGGGTGGAATTCAAGAAAAGCAACACACAAGGTGCTCATAGAAACCAGCACAGCAATGCATAAAAATTGTACGGTATAATTCAACAAGAGAACCGTGATCTCCAAGCTCAAGTGGCGGTGAGGGCCATCAGAACTCCCGCGCGTACGAGGGGTGCGTGTGCGTGTGTGTGTGCTCATTGTCGTGCATACCATAGTCATTAGACCATCGATCTCGCATCCCTACAAGGCCGGGACCGAGCTCGTCCGTGTTCTCACCGGACCCAGGCTCTCACACCACCGAGCGCGAAGCACCGTGAGGCATTCGGCGAGTCGCGGGGGCGATCAATTTCTTTGCTCTCACAAAAAAAAAAGAATATCACGGCGGAGGTTTAGGGCACACACGGAAAGATAGCGTTGGCGGACAGCTGACGACTAACTCACTTGGTGTCTTCCCCTCCAGAGTAACCGCCGGCTGTGTAGGAAACCTGCGGCAGAGCGGCGATCACCGACTTACACCTGCCAAGCGTACAGGAGGGGGGTGGGGAGGGGGGTAAGGAAGAGGGAACGTGTGGCCAATCGCCCGCAAAAACGGCGGGCCAAAAAAATTGAACAGCAGTATACGGGTTGGGGACGGAAATAAACCCAAAGCTGGCGAGTAGCTGTTGC